TCTTTGAAGCTTGCCTTTAACACATTCACGAGATAATATATGAGCAAATGAAGAGGAATAACAAGTAATACTTTACAAAAAGCATAGATTGTAAACTTTGTTTAAGCTCACCTGATAGGCTAATGATCTGAGGTTGAGAAATTCACAATTGCAATAGGGTATAATTGATTAAGGGTGCTTGAATTTCGAGCTCGAACGCATTGGCATGGTTGTCGAAGGTGATGTGTGAGAAAATCTCCATCAAAGACCCCATCTTGTTTGATGCTTTTCTTGAACCTTGATTCCTTATTTGAGGTTGAACATGAAGGCCTTTCCCTGAAAAATGATGCAAAATAAAACATAAAAAATGGGTAAAGGAACTTAGAGAAAGAGAAGTCGGGATTTAAATCTGAAATCACAATCGAACCTGAAACTCGGGGTACCAGATTCGAAATTGAATATGCTACCATTGATACTCGAAGCTGCTTCGACTTGTCCATTTATAGAATGAAAAATTAGAGGATACTTGCTGTAAATAGGGGACCTAGAGCATTGTCCAGAGAGAAAGGATATGATCTCCTCATGCCAACCACCTACAATTTATAGCAACCCAAAGGTCTAAAAGAGAAAGAATGATGCATTCTTAAGTGAACTCGAAACTCAGTTCAACTCGTTTATGTAATCACTTCAAAAAAAAGATGGTATCCAACAAATTTAAGGTTTGAATCCCAACATAAATCCTTCCCCTATAGGATAAGTTTAACTGAGTAGTCTAAGAATAGGGGAATATATTGCAGATGCTAAATACCAATCCAATTGGTTCATGCTAACCACCTACAATATATGGTAACCAAATTCACATACACAAAAGAGAAAGAATAATGAATTCTTAGTCAAACTCGAAACTTAGCTCAATTGGTTCATGCAGTCAGTTACCACTAAAAAGGGTCTTCCTACAAATTTAAAGTTTGAATCCCAACATAAATCATTCCTGTATAGGATAAGTTTCACTGAGTAGTCTAAGAATAAGAGAATAGATTGCAGATGCTAAATATGAATCCCGAACGTATTCGATATCGATAAAAGGCTATCCATAATAGCTTTGGTTTGAAGGGGGCTCCATTTGAAAATTCAATATAGATGTAGATAAAGTTCTTGATGACAAATTCACTTGCATTCATTAAGTCAAACCCTAATTCTTTAATATGTCAACAATGACAGCAATGGGGCAATTACAATAACACAAAATCGATAATTCTTATAATTGAAGAAGGTGTTTGTTGAAATGTCTGTTGTGTTGCTTCCCTTTGCATCAAACCAGGCAAAGGCCAAATCAGTTCGGATTCATAAGGCAAACTCAAATTTGTCCTGAAACCAAACAAAGATCCAACACAGAACACTCTTTTTTAATACCGTTATACTCACAATCACAAGAACCCCACAATTTATTTCTACCATTACGACAAACAACACAGCCATTGCAGGTCAATGGAATAGTTGTAACACCCCGACTTTTAATCAAGGATTGAATTGTGAAATATTAAAGTTTGGAATTAAAAATTAAAGGAAAATAAGGTAACTATGGACTAAGTTGATTATAGGATAGAACCTTTGAGCAAAAAATATGAACTCTAAGGAAATCAATGTCCTTTTCTGTAATTTACCCATAACATTTTGGAAAAAAAAAGGGAAAACGTGTGGTTTAAGATTTGAATCTGTGTCCTACTGCATATCAGGCAAATACCTTAGTCGTTCAACCTAAGTTGCATCTAATATTTAATTAATATAAATCTTTTATATATTTTCAATATATCGGGCCAATTTTAGGCCTCCTTCCCCGTAAAATCAAACCCCCGTGAAGCACAAAACCACCCCTCGTCCCCAAGCTTTTCCCTGCTGTTCAACCAATTTTGGCCATCCGTGGCGTCGACCGTCACCATCATCAGCATCAGCGACCTCCCGCGACCAAAACCCCTATAATCCCTTATTATAGAACACTGTCGATCGTTGTGAATCAGTGTTCGTTGAAAACTCGCAGGCCACTGTCAATTTCGTTAATTTCTTGTCGAACTCGACGTTATTCTGCCCTCCGCATTGGACTCCTCATCATTGTGCACTTAAAACCCAGCTGGTGGAATGCTCCACCGCCACTCAGTCGCCGTTCGACAAGGGTAAGTTCTCGGTGTCTTTTTCATTTGGTTTTTTGTTCGATTTGGTTAATTTTTGGGTTGATTAAGATTTTTTTAATATTGGAGCTATTGGAGTGATCGAGCGACGTCCCCAACCCCGTCGCTTCTATCAAGCTCTTCGACGCGTCGCCATGTGCGTGTGGGGCTCCTCCCCGGTCATAGAACACCCTCGAACCGGGTTGAGTCAACTCGGACCGAATCGAGTCAACCTGAATTAGCCTGAGTCAACTCGAACAGGGATTACCCATTAACTTTGACCCAAACTGTTAACTTTGACATGATCGTTGACCAAACCCGTTGACTTTGACCAAGTTTGACTGTTGACTTTGACCCAAAAAGTCAAATTCTATGTTTTTTGACGTCTTTAGTTCGAATCCGAAGTCCATTTCACCAAATTCAAACCCAGTAAGTTATTTATCACTGATTTACCTTCCTATCTGATTCGATTTTCACGTTTAAGTTCAGTTTCTGATGCAAGTTGTTTTGCTATGTACCCAAGATACTATGGGACATCGAATTCAAGTTCAAGAGCGATGGTGTTAAATGGTTGACCGTTATGGCTCCAAAATTGAGGTAATACATTACTACATTTTGCATGCGTTATGGAACATGTTGGTATTGGTTAATGCATTAATGAATATATTTTGTCACATGTATGTAGTTAATCATCTCTAAACATGATCCGAATACAATAAAAAGTATATAAATTGAATATGACTTGGATGACACTATCAGAAATTAGAAGTCTAGTAATAAATAAATCCAAGTTCATTGATTAATCAGTGCAACGATTAATCGCATAAACCTTAAATTCTGATTATTCATGCCAAAAGTTGTAATTCCGAAAAATACCCTAGATAAAAAGTTATGAAATTACCCCTAAGATGTGAAAATAACATAGAATTGCCCTTGTCAATGGATTTGACATGATAATTCATTTTCGACCTGATAAAATTTCTGATTCACCTATTAGTTTTATGATTTGTTCGAAAAATCATTGATAATCAGTTCATAAGCTCCGTAAAGGCTCAAGACCTAGAATTACCGATTTCTAAGCAAATACTTAAAGACTAACACAATGGAAGTACTTTTTATGTCTGAATTGTTCAAAATGATAGAAAAAATGAACTGATTGAATTAAATGGAAATACTGGATTGAATGAAATAACCAAAATATTGAATGAAATAACCAAAATACTTGAACTCCAAAATAACCAAAATACCCATAAACTTTAACTTGATCAAAATACTCCGAGCTCTGATATGACCGAAGTACCCTTGAGCTCCATAATAACTAAGATATCCTTGAGATTCTAAATTATTTAAATACCATCACGACTTGGACTAAGGGTATATCTTTAGATAATTCTAAAACTACTGATAAAATTAAAGGTTGTATCGCTCCTAAAGGTTGAAGCATACCCTAAGCTTATCGGTCATGCTTGTTACTGTTAATATTCGAGAGTTAGAATAATTATTGCATGAATATATTTATGCCTCACCGAGATCTATTCAATGAAGATTTTTGAAGGTGGATTTGTTCGGTCACATAGTACAGTTAACATGAGAAAAAATCAATATCCATAAAGTGTTCCTACTAGAGTCTTGCTAATTATTACAATGATGAGAAATGTTTAGCTTGATTGGACTCATAAGCCGATAATTCGTTACAAATTTGGAATATTACAAATCATCGTTTTACTTTTATTGAGTTAAATACTAAAACATATCATAGATCCAAAATGACTAAAATGCCCTTGTGAATCTGATTTACGAAATCACCACTAAAATATCTGAGTCTTAAGTAATTCTGATACAACAGTTCTTGAATACCATTTAGATATATCCGATTACTAAATGATCTTGATGTATCGCTTTATCAATGATTGATTAATCCATTAGTTATCGAATCTTTTTTAAATGGGATATCGGTTCTGAAATTCTATCAAATTACAGAAGTTTCGTTGTTCCCTACCCGATAAATACCAAGTACCTCCAGAAAATAACTGGATCTTCTAGTGTGTTCTGTATGTGATATATGATTGTTTTATTTGTTCTGAAATGTGATTTACTAAAGTTATTGATTTACTGAATCTTTTAACTATTCGATATTCTGATTTACTCATGTATTGATTTACTGTTTATGAACTATGACTACATGATATGTGCTCTCTGATTACATATTTTCACTGAAAAATATAATCATGTCTGATTTATGGACCATGTAATCTACTATTTACTGTATGAATCGATTTATTAGGATAATGTCTGGGTAGGATTCTGGAGTATGGAGGTTCAACTCTGATCAAGCCGGTAAATCCTTACGGACTTAAGGTGACACTTGGTAGGCTCTGAGGCCCCAAGGTATTTCCTTAGGTAAGCTCTAAGGCTACAAGGTACTCTATTGAGTAGGCTCTTAGGCCTTAGGTAACACTCTTTGGTAGGCTCTCAGACCCAATGATACTACCTTAGGTTGGCTCTTATGCCCAATTGGCCTAGGGTAAGTCCTTATGGATGCAGTTCTGGGGAACTACATATCGATGTTCAGTTTGAGGGTATTATTGTTGTCTTAAAATATGTTTTAAATTGTTACTGTTTTAAAAGATCAATACACTTCCTCTGGTTTTGTTGGAACACACTAGAATCTTCCTCTTAGTCCCTTGAATTTGTTTTTCTAAACTTTACCTTCAGATTGTAAGTTTCTCGACTGTTACCTGTAAAATTAATTAATGAATATGAACTCACCGCTAGAACCTGATGATGTCTATATCATTAAGCAAATTTATGATTTACCTTATACCCAATGACCTATTGCATTCATCTGGTAGTTCTGTATTACTGAGCTTCCCAAAGCTCACTCTGATACTTACCATTTCAGGTTAAAGAGTTTGATTTTATGCTTTTATCAACATCAGTAAAGGAGTTCTACCAGCATTGCTTGTGGAGTACGGTGCATGTAATTAGGGGGCATGTAGATTGTATTCTGTTTTTTATATTCGAGTCTGGAACTTGTTTTATTAATGGATATTGTTGAATTCTATTTTTTAATATATAAATGATTTTTTGAAATTGTATTTTATCTATAAATTATTTTACAGTTTTAAATGGATTAACAAAAATTTTAAATTTTCCAAGATTTTCAGTTTGGGTCGCTCTGGTGACCTTAATGTGACACTTCAGATCTGATCGAATCACTCGTATCGGTCTAAGGATGTTACATTTAATGGTATCAGAGCTTAGGTTGAGTCGAGTTTTTTGGGTAGATCGGCCGATTGAATATCATACAATGTCTGGTTAGTACATGCCCCTAGGTTATGATCGTACTCTTCTGAGTCGGGAATATGATGTCAAGTCATCACTCTGTAATAAGTATACCTAAGTATTATGATCATTAAGGTTCGATCTGTGAAGGAAAAGAATTTTGTTAACATTTGTCTAGATTCTGAAAATCGCCTCGTAAGTGATGTATGAGTTATTTGTTCTAAAATTCTAACCCGACTCATGACATGAATTTGAGTTTTGTTACCCCAAATGTTTTATGATGTTAAGCTTGTAACTAAACTTTATAAGTGAAGTTTCGAGATAAAGAATTCCTATCCTAGTGGATGGAAAAGCAAGGTATTTGGTTCAAGCTTTGACTAGGTGACTTCCTACCAAAGTTATGCATTAATTAACTGAATTGAGGAATTTATGGAATCATTCTTGTTCTAATTTTATGAGATTGAAACCCAATAGGTGCCAAGTCATGTACCTCAATGATTTGATCAGTAAGTAGTTAAAGGAAAATGTTTGTGTACTTTGTAAAAGTGTAATTCTCGAGATGATTTTGTTACGTATGAAGGAAAAAATTTATGTATGTATGTTGCGTTAAAGGTTAAACAAGTGTTATTCTGATGATTAAGAATTGATAATTAAGGTATATTTGGTTCTACGAGGAGAAATTTGTTCAAATTTTGAAATTTTGATAAAGAATAGTTCTAATGAGAACTCATATTTAGCTAGTTAAGGTTTAGTATATTAATCGTAATCTTGTAACAGGATACTTAGGAGAAAGAAGAATTGATGAAAGCTCAATTTCCACATTTCTTTAACTTAGGTAAATTTCGAGGACGAAATTTCTTTTGAGGAGATGAGAGTTATAACACCCCAAATTTTAGTCATGATTGAATTGTGAAATATTAAAGTTCATAAATAAAAATGAAAGGCAAATAAGGGAGCAATGGACTAAGTTGATTACATGATAGAACTTTGAGCCAAAAAGATGAACTATAAGGAAATCAGTAGCCTTGTGTGAAATTTACCCATAACTTTCTGACAAAAAACGTGTGGTTCAGGATTTAAACTTGTACATTGCCGCATATCAGGCCTAAACCCTAGCCATTCAGACTAAGTTGCAGTTGATATTTAATTATAAATATTTATATATCTTCAATAAATCAGGCCAATTTTAGGCCCCATTCCCCCGTGAAATCAAACCCCTGTGAATCATAAAACCACCCCTCATCCCTAAGCTTTTCCCCATTGTTCAACTAATTTCGACCATCTGTGGCATCAACCGTCGCCATCATTAGCATCAACGACCTCCTGCGACCAAAATCCCTCTAATATCTTATTGTGGAACGTCGTCAATCATCGTGAATTAATGTTCGAGTGTTCGTTGAAAACTCATCGGCCACCGTCAATATCTTCAATTTTTGACCGAACTCGACATTGCTCCACCTCACCTCTGCCAATACTGGACTCCCCGTCATCGTCCACTCAAAACCCAGCTGGTGGAAAACTCATTCGTTGCTCCGTCGTCGTTCATCGAGGGTAAGTTATATTTTTTCTTTATTTGGTTTTTCGTTCGATTTGATTAATTTTTGGGTTGATTGAGATGCTATTTTTTATGTTGGTAAATGCTGGAGTAATCAACCACCGTCCTCGATCCCGTAACTGTTGTCATGTGCTGTCATGCATCACCGTGTGCGTGTGAGGCTTCTCTCTGGTCATGGAACACCCTTGAACTGGTTTGAGTCAACTCGAGCCAGGTTGAGTCAACTCGAACTGAACCGAGTCAACTCGAACCAGCTTGAGTCAACTCGAATGGGTCTGACCCACTGACTTTGACCTGACCGTTGACCAAACCCATTTACTTTGACCCGAACCATTGACCTTGACTTGATCGTTGACCAAACATGTTACTTTGACCCAAAAAGTCAAAATTTTTGAAAAATCATATTTTATGTTTTTCGACACCCTGAGTCTGAATCCGAAGCCCGTTTTTTCAAATTCGAACCCGATAAGTTTTTATCACTAATTTACCTTCCTATTCGATTTGATTTTTACGTTTAAGTTCAATTTCTTACGCAAGTTGTTTTGCTATGTACTCGAGATACTATGGGACGTCAAATTCAAGTTCAAGAGCAATTGAATGGTTTTAAATGGTTGACCGTTGTGGCTTGAAAATCGAGGTAATACATTACTACCTTTTACATGCTTTATGGAACATGTCGGTATTGGTTAATGCATGGATGAATATATTTTGTTAATTGTATGTAGTTAATCATCTCTAAACTCGATCCGAATACAGTAAAAAGTATGTAAACTGAATAAGACTCGGATGACTCTATCAAAAATTAGAAGTCTAGTAATAAATAATTTCAAGTTTAGTGATTAATTAGTGCATCAGTTAACAGCAAACTTTAAATTCTGATTATTCCCGTTAAAAGTTGTAATACCGAAAATACCCGGATAAGAAATCATGAAATTGCCCCTGAGATGTAAAATGACATGTAATTACCCTTGTCAGTGGATTTGACATGAGAATTCATTTTTTACCTGATAAAATTACTGGTTCACATATTAATTTCTTGACTTGTTCGAAAAATCGTTAATAATCAATTCATAACCTCTGTAATGGATCAATACCTAGAATTACCGATTTCTGAGCAAGTACTTACTAACACCATGGAAGTACTTTTTATGTATAAATTGTTCGAAATGACGGAAATAAATGAACTAATTGAATTAAATGGAAATACTAGATTGAATGAAATTAGCAAAATACCCCTAAACTCCAAAATGACCAAAATACCCATGAACTTCAACTTGATCAAAATACTCCGAGCTCTGATATGAGTAAAGTACCCTTGAGCTCCATAATAACTAAGATATCCTTGAGATTCTAAATTATTTAAATACCATCATGACTTGGAATAAGAGAATATCTTTAGATAATTCTGGAATACTGATAAAATAAAGGTTGTATCGTTCCTAAAGGTTGAAGCACGACCTAAGCTTATCGGACATGCTTGCTACTCTTAAGATTCAAGAGTTAGAATAATTATCACATGAATATATTTATGCCGCATCGAGATCTGTTCAATGAAGATTTGTGAAGGTGGATTTGCTCGATCACATAGTGCAGTCAGTATGAAAAAAATCAATATCCATGAAGTGTTCCTACCATAGTCTTGCTAAGTATTGCAATGATGAGAAATGTTTAGCTTGATTGGACTTATAAATCGATAATTCATTATAAATTTGGAATATTGCAAATCATCGTTTTGCTTTTATTGAGTTAAATACTACATCATCTCATAGATCCAAAATGAATAAAATGCCCTTGTGAATCTGATTGACAAAATTACCCCTGGAATATTCGAATCTTAAGTAATTCTGATACAACAATTCTTGAATACCCTTAAGATATATCCAAATACTAAATGATATGGATGTATCACTTTATGAATGACTGATTAATCCGTTAGCTATCGAATCCTTTTTTTAATAGGGATATCGTTTCTGAAATTTTGTCAATTTGCAGAAGTTTCATGGTTCCCTACCTGATAAATACCAAGTACCTCCGGAAAATAACTAGATCCTCTAGTGTGTTCCTTATGTGCTATATGATTGTTTTATCTATTTCTGAAATGTGATTTACCGAAGTTAATGATTTACTGAATCTTTTAACTATTCGATATTCTGATTTACTGATATATTGATTTACTGTTTATGAACTATGACTGCATGATATGTGCTCTCTGGTTACATGTTTTCACTTGAAAATATATTTTAAACTATTACTGTTTTAAAAGATCAATACACTTCCTTTGGTTTTGTTGAAACACACTAGACTCCTCCTCTCAGTCTCCTGAATATGTTTCTCTAAATGTTCCATTCAGACTGCAAGTTTCTTGACTGTTACTTGAAAAATTAATGAATGAATCTGAACTCACCGCTGGAACTTGATGATGTTTGTATAGTTAAGAAAATTTATGTTTTACCTTATATTCGATGGCCTATTGTATTCATCTGGTAGTTCTGTATTACTGAGCTTCCCAAAGCTCGCTTTGTTACTTGTCATTTTAGGTTAAAAAGATTGATCATGTGCTTTTATCGACATCAGTAAAAGAGTTCCACTGTCATTGTTTGTGGAGTACGGTGCATGTAATTAGGGGTATGTAGGTTGTATTCTATTCTTATATTCTAGTCTGAAACTTGTTTTATTACTTGATATTGTTGAATTCTATTTTTAATATATAAATAAATTTTTTGAATTTATATTTTATTTATAAATTATTTTACAGTTTTAAATAGATTAACACAAATTTTAAATTTTCTAGGATTTTTAGCCTGGATCACTCTAGTGACCCTAATGTTACAACCCAGATCGGATCAGATCACCCATATTAGTCTGACAGGGTGTTTCAACAGTGTTTGCGGTACTAAAAAGATCGGTTTTCATCGCGGAAAGACGATCTAAACATTGAATTCGGGATAGGCAAAGGAAAACATGATGCTGATGTCGGTGCTGAAGTAGCAATTGATGGCAAAAAGGAACCATCTTTCTTTTGTTGTTGTTCAATCCTAATCTTCTCGAGTTGAGCCACACCAAGCCCTCTTTGTGGGACTTCTTTAGGCCTTTGTTTCTTGGAAAATCTACCAATAATATTGTTTCCGCTACCACTATTACTCTTAGTAATTTGCTCCTCTTGAGCCATTGTTTTCACTAGCTTCCATATATGACACATACACAAATTTTCCCGAGAAAATTATGGATTCAAAACAAAACCCAAGAATCTGTAAAGCATCTAGAAAAACACCCAAAGCTTAAAAAACAGATTAAAAAAAACAAAACAAAAGTATTATCAAGATAACGCACAAGAAAATAAAAAAAGTTTCAATATAAATAAACAAAATAAAAGATACCCAAACTCTTGGAAGTCAAGAGAACAAACCCTTAAGCTTAGCCAAGTTTTAAGCTAAGATTAGTGAGAGAAAAAAGTGGAAAATAAGAGGAAATCACTATATCTTTGAGGTTTCTGATTTTGAGAGTTTGTCTGAGATAAAAATTAAATAAATTAATTATATGCTAAAAGGGTTAATTATTAAAATTTCCAAATTATCGGTCCAACTCTTCCTCTTTTCATTCCTAAAGTCTCCTCTTTCACCTTTGTTTCTTTTATTTTTCTCCACAATAATTTTGTTTTCAAACTTTTCAAATCATTTGGTTGGTTTATGTAATTATTTTTAAATATTTCATCAATCCTAAGCTAAATTGAGTATTGTTTGATAAAAAAAGTTAATTAATTATTAATTGTAGGATAAACTACGTTAACAATTGTCGTCTCAAATTCATACATTCTGTTATTTTTGTTTTAATTCAAATATTTTTATAAATACAATTTTTTTTATTAATCTAAGGTGATTATATATTGTATTTATTCTAAAGATTCTCAATTATTAGATAATAAAAATTCAAATATCTTTATAGTCTCCTTTAAAGAAATAAAAATCATTGCTTTAATAACTGACCTTTAATATAAATATATTAATATGATCTATTATATATATATAATTTAAGAGAACAAATCATTTTTTTCAAAATTTTTACGGGGCAAGTAATTAAAAAAAATCAACGGACATATCGATAGTAATTAATCGGGTCAGGTTTTGGTCCATTTGAACCATATTCGAGTATTATACTATCTGCCCGGCCCGACATAATTATATATATATATATGTCTGTGTTAGGTAAAATAGGAAATTAATTGGAAAATATTGTAAAGAGAGTTATTATACAATTATCTCCAAATATATAAAAGTCAATTATAATATTATTATTGATTTAAATCGGATATTTTTTACCCTAAACATAAACCGGTCTAATCAGACTTTATCTTTTACAAACCCAACCTTAGTCAAATTTAATTTTTTTTAAATGGCCTTATAAGATCGAATTAACTAAAAAATCGATCAGATTCAAGTAAAATACCCATGGTAGATCTCATGTTATGTTCCGCCCTTGATTATACCACTTGTAAATAAGAACACAACTTTATGGCATAACCTAAAGGATTAAAAGGAGATCAAAGCATATTCTTTGTCTTGCTCTTTATTTAGTTCACACTTTCAAAAGATTAAAATTAAAGGATAACAAAAATAATCCTGGATTTGGGGATTTGTCGGTTAATGTTCATCATTTGAACCGTCCAAGAACCTGATTCAAATTCATCTAATAAGTTATTCAAATGTTTAAAATTTCAATTCCAATCATAATTTATAATAAACTTTAGGATAAATTACACGTTTAGTATCTAAACTATAATTTTAGTCCATTTTATTACCTAAACTTTCATTTTTTTAAAATTATACCTAACGTTTAGTTTTTTATCCATTTTAGTACCCTAACGTTAAAAATTTAACGGATGGGCTTGTCAGCAGCCACATCTACAGTCGTCGGCCATCGTATTCATTGGCCAATGAAGCACAAACTTTCTAACTTGCACCTTTTCGACCCCCTAAACACAATTTCGACCTATGTTTTACCAAGAAAAGCATCAATCTCCCCAAATCAACAATGGACTCTTCAATTTATTCATCCTCCGATCTCCATGGCCCATTGTCCGATGGGCTTGAAACTGAACTATGTTGGTTGACTCATCATTCTCTCGTGGTCCACAGTTCAAATTGATTATTTGTCCATCGGAGCTATGTCACGTCAACCCGTCCGTTAAGTTTTTAACGGCGGTGTACTAAAATGAAACAAAAACTAAACGTTAAGTATAGTTTAAAAAAACAAAAGTTTAAATACTAAAACGGATCAAAACTTATGCATAATTTACCCTAAACTTTAACTAATTATAAATAATTTATGAGTCCGACCCATCTTTATTCTTCATTCTTGTTTGGCATTTAAACAAAAAATTCAATAAATGAAATGTGAGACATAACACAATCAGTCATACCTTAAACCTTTCGAATTAGACCAAAATGAATATAGAATTACAATCTCTAACAATAAAATATGTTAAATATGATCATAACATAAATATACAAAATTATCGTATCTGAACCGAATGAGAATTCATCTCTATCCTTAAAAAGTTAGAATCCAATCAAATGGAATCCATATGAACAAACTCCAAATATTCTACCAAAACAGGAAGTTAGTAACATGCATCTATATATACCAACCCATGCAACCCACTCTATGCAAACTATCAAACCCTAATTTAAACTTTCAAATGGCTAACTTCAATGTTTTCTTCGTGTTTTCCCTGCATGTTTTGTTCTTGGTTTCGAGTTCTGCAACTCGTCCGCTCCATGCAACCACGGTTTCCGATCAAGCATTTGAAGATGAAACGGAAGTACAATCATCGTTTTACGAATATGACTCATTTCGTCGTCAACATTCATCACAATCGACCATAATGACGTCTGCTACGTCTGCAACGGTTATAAAAACCGATCGAGAGACAAGAAGTGCGTGAGACGAATCATGAATCCATACAATTTAGAAGCGATAGAAAGCGTACGTTGATGGAGGAAGGCAGGGATGCCATTAAAGGTAGCATAAAAAGGAATGCCGGAAATCCCTTAGTGTCAAAGAGACAAAGTCCGGGTGGTCCTGATCCTCATCATCACTGACGATCTTGTATTTTATAACAAATGATTGTCCAACTTCACTACTAGTATACATTGGACGTTGGACAATATATACGCACATGTATACGTATGTATCTGCGTGAATGAAACTTTTTTAAATAATATATTCCTTAAACCTTAGTTATGATTTTCAAACTCTTTATTTTTATAATAAAAATATATATAAAGTGTAAATAAACGAATAACTAATGTATTGCAACGTATATAAATTGAATGAAATTTGGCCTTACTCCATGCTCTTTGCTGTACGTGCCAAATATAGGTTGGATCAAATCGAGTTTTTATTTGACTCGAATTTGATTTAAACATTTTATCACTTATTTGTTGACTATTTTAACTCGGATTTAAAGAGATTTCATCTAATCCGAAATTAGATATGATTACTATGGTAAAAATTCATATCCAACCGACGTAAATATATATATTTAAACTATATTTTTATGACATACATTATTTCTTTTTATTTTAATCTCATTATCTTATTCATAAACTATAAGATTTTCTCCCTTTTCAAGTATCATTCTTCAACATATTTTATAGTCATTTTAGACATCAACGATCTTGTCTTATTATTCTATATCACTCAATCAATTTAGATTTTATCAAAACTTATTTAAAACCACTTAAAATAAAGATAAAAAATATATCAATTTTAGGGTTGATGCTCCATCAAATTTGACAAATTTGGAGAATCCATTCAAAAATTCGAATGACAAAAATTATTCCGAAAATATATACATATCTTAGAATTAATGTCATGGAAAGGTCACCAGAGGATATTATAACATTAGAAAAACTTTGGACAAATTTTCATATACTTTGAGTTGATTTTGTGAAAAATTAATCAATAAAAGAAGAAGGATAAATACAAATATTTTGACATTAATTTTATTATAAATAGCCACAAATGACGATAAAATGTAGACGATGTCCAAAAGGACTTAAAGGTTTCTGCATAAATAGAAGGATAACAATCATATCACAACGTTGTTAATGATTTAAAGTCCCAATACTCCAAAAAAATAACTCAAAAAATTTAATAATTTAATGACTAAAACAAAACAACATCTAAAGTTGAATGATTAATGATATAATTTTTCCCATAAATATGAATAAAATTTTAAATATCCAGAGGCGCGTATTCAAAGAATTAGATGCGGAATTTGGAATCTTGGGGTCCGAATTGATAAGTTAGTTAAACTGAAAACTTTTGAGGTTGGCTCTTCCATTTCATTTTCCTTTTTATCCAAAATCTTCCTTTTTTATTTTTTTTGGTGGGCATCATTTCCAAGCTTGGATTCTACACTCTTTAACCCAATTTTTTTTAAGTAATCGGTAATTTTATTTAAAATAAGAAAAATCTTAAATTACAATAAAGATTTATAATCAAAATCTTAAATTAAACACATAAATATTAGAACAATTTCTTATAATCATTGATACAAAACTAACAACTTAAGATCACATAAAGATCATACAAGGAAATATTAAAATATAGTCAAGAAAAAAACTCGAACAAATATAGATATAAACATATCTAATTGCATCGGAAAACAAACCACAAAAAGGGATCAAGCTACTGAAAGATCACTCACAAACAGTAAATCAGACTCGAGTGACGTGAAAAATTATCTACGAACGCATAACGAGTATCCAAATCCAATCTGAGGGTTCAAAACAGAGAATATCAACTATAACAGATAAGTCAAATCTTGATCAATCATGGCGATGTCAAATCAACTCTTAAAAAAAAATAAAAACAACAGTCAAACGACAGGAAAACATGTCAAAAGACATAAAAAAACGTGTCATACATGCAAATTTATTAAAAATAAAAAACAACAAAAAATAAAGATGTAATAACAAAAAAATAAGAGGACGATAAAGAATATAAACAGTCGGCAACCAACATAAAAACTAGTATCGCCGCTGATCAATAAAGACAAAAAAAAGGATGAATGACTTACCAATAAGTTATAAAATATGACTTATAAAGTCAACTAACTCAAACTTTTTTGTCTCGACTTAACTCCATCGGATCCAATACTCGCCCATATACGTGTGATTTGTAAAAGTTACTTTGTTTGTTTGCTTGATTTTCAAATATGTTGATACTAATTGGGTAAATAAAGATAAATATTTTTGCAACATAACATGTAACTTTGCTTTTATGTTTTATTGCTAAATTTGTTTTTTCCTGTCGCACACCAAATAAAAGTTTATTGTTATTAACAAAATTGGCCGAGGGCCATAAAGTTGCCAAACGGAAGAGAAATAGTTACACAGCAAGTCGTATAAACGGCAAGTCTCGCATTTCTTATAATAATTATTAGGGATGAAAGCAATATTTTATATTAAGAAAAAAAATTTATAAAATAAAAAAGTTATAAAATTTTAAGAGGATGAAATTTTTTTGACTGAATAAACTGAATGAATAATGATAACATAATTTGTTATCTTATTAAACTTATATTACCCGTTAAAAATATAAAATAAAAAATATATATATTTTTTTTCTAATCACAAATATATTCTTTCAATCCAATTTACTCTTTCTCAAATATAAATCAAATATAAAATGTGTGTGCCAGTAGTTAACGAACGGTGCATTCTTTAGGAAGTCCCTGAGGGAACCGATTGGTATCAGTGCAATAGTTGTAGATCATGTAGTTTTTCTGCACCCATCTCAGCCTTTGTTGGCTGCCGATATCCAGCTCCTGCAACAACCACGAGCTCGGAGAACCGGAGCTCGACGAACACGATGACTTTCCGGCAGACCAGACACAGGCATCAGCTTTGTAATTCCTGTAAGAAGCAGTGAAGGGAGCTTTGCTCCAATCCGTCTTGATGAGTCCACCTCGAGTGGCCCAATCGTCGGCGTTCCAAAGACTCGAATACACCCTCATCGGCTGCCTCTTCGGGAACGGAACGCCGAACGATTCCAAGTTCTTGAACTCTCTGATCGGAGTGCCGTCAATAGAGAAGCTGTACATCAACATTAAAAACAAAAACACATGCACAGAGTCAAACAACGAACATCATCGGAAGCTGTAAAGAAATCAAAACGGAATAAAAACTTACATGATGCGTCGAGGGTTCCAAAGAAGAGAATAAGTATGAAAATCTTTGGTGGGATCGAACCAAAGGTGAAACTGTTGCTCTCTGTCTCCTTTCCCACCGCAATACACATTCGTATGAACCGTATAAGGCTCGCCGGAAAGGTTCCCCAGGAACTCGAAGTCTATTTCATCCCAAGTGGATCCTTGTGAACGAAGCTGTTGAGCCAAATACATTTTCATTTAGTACCAAAAGACAAGAGTGAAATCAAAGATTGATTATGATTAAGTGAACAACTTACGTAATAAGTAGTAACAGTGCCAGCAGAGTTTCCTGGAACAAGCTTCATGTTCATATCAATCTTCCCAAACAGATATTCATTCTTGGATTGAAAACCAGAGCCTGAGAATCTGTCGAGTGTGAGCGTCAAAAGCTGGCCGTTTTCCAGAATCTTGCCCCTGCCATTTCCCCATGTAACATCTATGTCTTGCTTAAAGTTTGCAGCTGAAGCAACTAATACAAGGCCTATTAATACAGATAGCAGCAAGCCAAATGAAGAACTCATGGTGATTTTCTGGGTTTTGTTTTGATGGATTGAAATTGTAAGTGGAGTGATATATATAGGGGAGAAGGAAGATGAAGAGAGGTAAATGGAAGTTTCGTGGGTGGTGTGAGTTGTAAACAGCTGGAGAATAGTGAGTAAACTCGGTGATGGAGATGGCTGTTGCCTGGTTCCATCCATGCAAGAGTAGTTTAATGAATTTGGTGCCGCCTTTCAATGTTCCATCACCATATACGCATGTAGCATTTACTGTGAATACATATGTTTTAATCCAAACCTAGCATGAGATGATGAATAAAAATATAAAAATAATCGATTCAGATTTCCGTAGATTAAAATTTTAACTCGAATTAATTTAACTCATAATCATATTTGTATGCTCTGATGTTTTTAAATGAAGTAAATTGAATTGGGATAATTGTCCTCGCCTCTACAATACCTTATTTGGATTAATCGATCAATTGATCAGATACCAATGATTAATTCAAACAAATAATACTTAAATGATAGAATCAAATATACCTAGAGATGATAATTTAATCTGAAATTGATGGATTTAGGGGTTGTTTGTTTACTTCAGAATGATTAAGCGTTAAATGATTCAAATGCTGAATGATTCAGAGGCTCTGTATGAATTAATTCTGAATGTGACATGATGTTTGATAATGGCTCTGAATAATTCAGAATGTACTTTCGTGCTGAATCATTCAGTACTGTTTTGCTGAATCAGTCAGCACTGAATCATTCAGAGGTACGAAACAAATGCACTGAACCAACGCTTAATGGTTCTATTAAGAGGCAAACAAACAACTCTTTAGATTTAACCCAACTTGATAGAATTATATTTAAAAAAATTGACTTCAAGTTGGATTTTATATAAGAGTGAGGTCAGATCAAATTCGAATAAATAAAATATATTATTCAAATTAGATTGAATCAAATAAAAGAAATATATTTTTGAATCGGATTGAGTTAAGCAAAAGTCCGACTAAATCTGTTATCGATCTCCAAGTATACCACCTCCACAGGCAGAGGCTGTATCTCGGGAGTTGGTGGTGTTAATTAAATGAGTCGTTGTCAGATTGGTTGACACTTTGCATGGTCAGGTCAAAAACTATATGACGGGGCCAAACGCGTATTGACAAAAATCTCAACCACTTGATCCTCACGTCAAACAATATAATTATAATTATCATCACAATTAACATAAGTTTATTTATTTACATAAACCGTATATAATTGTATGAATTGATGTATGAATCAAATGATTTTAATAACTAAAGAGATGAATGTTATTTTTAAAAGTTTAGAGTTTGAATTGATATATTTATATAAATACTTGAATATTTATTATTAAATAATTAAGAATCTTTTAAATAAATATTATCTTATAATTACTTTAAACTATACAAAATAGAAAAATATGAGTTGTTAATTTTAATCATCATATGATATGTTTAATATAATGATTACATAATAGATATTAATATACGTATTATTGAAAAATTAGATAATATATTTTTATATGAATCAAGTATTCAGTGGTAAAAGAATTATTATTATTCTTTAAGGTTACGGATTAGAACATAGTGAAATTAGAAGTGTAAGATTCAATGTTAAATGGTTAAAAATTATCTTTGAACAAATACTGTATAGTACTTACCATATATTAATAAATAATAATAATATAATTTTATTTACTAAATTGATATTATTCGATTTATAAAACTAAAATCAATTGAAAATTTTAAAATTATTAACCAACATTGAAGTGGGACTCCAAGTCGGTGGATAAGTATAAAAAGAAGATAGGATTGGAAATTAACAGCTGGCCGTCAAACAATTAATGTAAAAATATATATATATATTTCAAAAAGAAATTATATATAAATTTAAGATATAATATTGTTATACGTTATCGAGTGACTTAAATAGGTAAGAGAATATAGTCTTCTTTAAAAGTTTTTATGTTCAATTAATTATATTTACAAGATATGTGTTATTAATAATTAAGAAATATTTTAAATAAATATTATATTATAATCATCTTAAACTATTTAAATATATATATATATATATATTATTTTTAATATAAATGGTAAAAGAAAGTACAAGTATATAACAAATTATCTAAAAGATAAAGATATTAGTAGTCACACAATTATATTAAAATAACTTTTTAAATATTATAAAATAATAATAATTATTAATATATTATAAAATAATTGTGAAAGTTATTATGTTATGATAAAATAACTATTAAATTATCAAAATTTAATATTATTTTTTGTTTAATCTCCGATATTCAATCTTTAACCAATTATTCCAAATCAAGTTTTGTAAAGGTCTATTATGAGGGCGACTTTTAATCCAATTTGTTACATTTATAAACGTTAGGATTCAAACTTCTGGTCCAACTTAAGGAATTTAGTATATCGTAATACTAACCAATTTATTGTTGATAAAATTTTATACCACATAAATTATTTTAACAATTTAATAAATTTAATAATTATTTTAGAATATTAAAAATTTATTAGTGAAAATATTTTATATAATTTAATATCTCAAACATATTTATCTTTATTAAAATATTTATCTTTATTTTTATAGAATTTAACATCACATACTTTATATCATCTCATATATTATATAGAATGAATCATTTTTAGTGTGGCTATAGTGGCCCATGGAGAAGGTGTTTGGTGGATGCATATCCACTTAATTTCAAGTGGTTGGCAAACACACTTATAAACGAAGTGTTTAAATTTAAGATCTTCAAAAATAATAATTATTTTTTAATCATTATAATTGTTTAGTTTGTATATTTTTTAATTTATTAAATAATACAAAAATATTGTTTATAATTGATTAAATTTCATCAGCCTGGCTGCCAATGCAGGCGGTGGTTTATTCTGACTGACAAAGCGGTGGAAACGGCGCAGCAAGGCCGATGAGATCCGGACAACGGCTGTCAGTGCGGTGCTGTCAGTGCGATTTAGGAGCCGATAAGATGTTTAAGTAAACTCTTTTGCTTTCAATTTACAATTATTCCACCGACTTCAAACCCATTGAACCTTCCTCTCATATGCCCCCTTTGGTATTCCATCAAACCCAATTGGAATAATGCCACCTACTTTTGTTGTTACACCAACATAAATTTGTTAAATCGAACTCATCAAACGATATTTATGATAGAAAAGAGTGTTATATTCTTTAGAAACTTTAAATTCGAGCAAGGTTATTTGTAAGATGTGTGTATATTTATTTTTAAATAATATTTTTTTAAAAATAATTTATTAAATCCTCAATGTCTTTATGTCTTGCTCTTATAGATATAAGAATTTGATGGATCTTGAAATACATCTTATCTTATAACATCTTTAAAAATAATGTCCTCAAGCCACTTTTGTTTAATTCTAGGTCAGGTCGATTTTTGAACCACTTAAATCATATATGAATATAATACTTTTTTCTCTTTCGTCAGATCATTTCATAAAGTTCCCTTAATTCAAAATTTGAATTAAATTTAAATAAAAATATACATTCGATAAAATATAAATATATGAAAATAATTTTTATTTTTGTAAAATAAAATAGACATGATGAAAAAAATATAGAGATGAATATTATATTAGTTATCTCTAAATATAAAAAATAATTAATTATACTATTATTCTTAAATCAAATTATATATTTATGATTCTAAATTTTAATAAAATTTAAACTCATTATTTTATTTAAAAAACTCTATTTAATCAGAGTAAATCTAAATACATCAAATTCAAGTCAAATATCTAATATCCCTATAATCAATTCCAACAGCTAGCTAATAGCAATGGCCTCCGGCAAAATCTCGTTGATAGTGCGTTGAAATTTTTTTTTTCACGAAATAGTGGGATCGTCAGATTAATTGCTCAAGTGGTGTCCTCTACAGTACCGGGGGTAGGTCGCCATGCACGCCCGGCGACCTACCAGGTCGCCATGCACGCCCAGCGACCTGGTAGGTCGCCATGCATGCCCTGCGACCTACCAGCCAACGACCTCCATGCCCATGCACGCCCATCTCGCCAAAGGAGCACGCCCATCCATGCCCTGCTGCCTGCTCGCGACCTTGCCGGGACTCCATGGCCCCGAGTGTCCCATGCATGAACCGTTCCTTGGTCGCCTCGAGTGCCCCATGCATGAACCGAGCCCCGAGTGCATGGCACGATCTCCCCATGCATGAATCCTTGGTCGCCCCGAGTGCATGGCGACCTCCTTGGTCGCCGGGCGTGCATGGCGACCTAGGAGGTCGCTGGGAGTGCATGGCGACCTATGGTTGGGTTGTGCATGTCCCATGCAGAGCAAGCCACGTCGTAGGTCGCCCGGAAGGCATGGCGACCTACGGCCACACTGTTGATTTCGCCCTATTTCAGCAAATAATGTTGGGATAACGTTATTTCGTGAATTATTTATTTTGAGGGCATTATATCGTGAGTAAAGCCAATGGCCTCCACATTGACGTAATTAATCAGACATGTAAAGGCGGCGCCAAACCCATAAATATTACTGGCATGAAACCAAGCAACGGCCATCGGCATCATTAGATTTGGACCATTTCTTTTCTCCAATTCTTGCAGCTGTTTACAACTTGAATACACCCACATACCAGGAAACTTCCTCCACTCTTTTCTCATTATCTTCACCAAATCCTTCCCTATATATAACACCCCCAACACACTCAATTTAAAAATCACAAACCCCAAAAGAAGAAAAAACCCCAGAAAAGAATGAAGCTTTCTTTGCTAGTTTCACTAATAATCGGCTTTGTATTAGTTGTTTCAGCTGCAAACTTCAACCAAGACATAGATGTTACTTGGGGAGATGGCAGGGGAAAGATTCAGGAAAACGGCCAGCTTTTGACGCTCACACTCGACAGATTCTCAGGCTCTGGTTTTCAATCAAAGAATGAATATCTGTTCGGGAAGATTGATATGAACATGAAGCTTGTTCCAGGCAACTCTGCT